AATTTGTATTCACAGAACAACAATCAGAGTTCGAGTTAGTACTAAATGTAAGTTAAAAATAAATTAAATAATTGAGTTGTTTTGATTTTTCTTTTTTTGTTTGTTTGTGATTTTTTTTTATTTTTTTTTTATTTTTTATATTTTTTTTTATTTGATTTTTTTATTTCCTTGTATTACTTTTTTGATATTGTATATAATATGTATATATATTTTTTATTTTGTTTTGGTCTTTTTTTATATTAATTTGGTTTGGCCTATTTTTTTTTATTTATTTGTTTTTTTTTTGTCTCTTTTTTTCCATTTTTTTTTTCATTTTTTCGTATTAAAAGGTTTATTACATGATTGATATGTTCGCAAATTGCTTACAAATTTTATCTTAATTCTAGGGTTAGTACATTATATTGTTTAAAGTTTATATTTACAATTTCTTATTAACTGATAAATACAATTAAAGATTTCTAAGTTTCCGGAGAAAATTAATTCATTTATGTGAAATGGGAAACACACATTTAGTTTTTGTAAGTTTTCATAAAAACATGTAATATTCCCTTGTTGCTTTCCACATTCTAATAGGATATGTGTTAAATCTCCATATTTACCACAAGTACAATTTGGAGTGTCTGCTAGATCCATTTTGTACATTCTTGAAGGTGTTAGAGCATGATTTGACCTTAGCCTATTAATAGTTTTAATAAAACTTCTGTTGGACTCTGAATAAAACCACCTTTTTTTAAGAAGTGTGGGTTGCCAATATTTAAATGATGACTGTCTTTCGGATTCCGCATAATTGGCTTGCCATTTTAATTTAAGCCGTTGTTTCCTATATACATCTATATCTAACACCGGTAGAATATTGTTGACTATGGTTTCTCCGCTTGATAATGCTTCTTTTGCCAGTACATCTGCTATTATATTACCCTTCATCCCAGAATGGCCTTTGATCCATGCGATGATAACTTCTCCTCCGAGATTTGAAACCTCGTAGTACAATTTTAATATCTCTATATCAAGATGAGTCAATTGCTTGGATTTATTTGTTTCACATAATCTTTCTACTGCACTTTTACTGTCTGTAAATATTACACAGTTCTTCATTTCCTTTGTCAAACTAAAGCCCTTTCTAAGAATATATATAGATATATATATATATATATATATATATATATATATATATATATATATATATATACCGTTCGTTGCAAAATATTTTAAATTTAATCTTCTAGGTATCGTTGTATACAGGGTTGGACTGATACATATTATAATAATTACAGCAATCCTACAAAGTGAAAGAAAAATATATATTAGTTATACTTTTATATTAAAATATATATTTAACAGAGTGAAAAAATAAAAAAAAAATTTTCTCCAATCCCCTGTGAATTCATCTCTTTGAGGGCCAAATATTATTCTGAGAACCTTTCATTCAAATACAAAAGCTTATTGATTTCCCACTGCTTGAGAGTTAATGTTTTTCTGCGATATGTAATAATTAGGCGAATAATCGACTTTTGTATTTTTGTATTTTCTTTTTAGCAGCTTTGATGTGATGTTCTTCCTAACTCTTGGTCTTGGATTTTTGGTTACAACATGTATTTTGTCTTTTCTTCATTTATTCGGAGACCCAGACTACCTGTTTCCTCGTCGAGCTGTGAAAACACTTCTCTCACGTCTCTTGTAGAATGCGTGACTGCATCTATATCATCGGCAAAGACCAGCAACAGTGTTGATCCTTGATCAGCAAATCCTCCTGTCAGCTCAGACGATATTTTACTTATTGCATATTCCAAAGCAAAATTAAACAGCAACAGTGACAAGGTCCCCCTGCCTAAACCCTGAATTTATACCAAATGGCATCGATGTTCTGCTTCCTATCTTTACTTGCCCATATGAGTGTGTCACGCACATTTGCGTTAATTCAATCAATTTCTTGGTATTCCCATTTCTAACATTGCTATCCACAATTTGCTTCTTTTTCACAATAGCCGCATTGGTAGTCGCCTAGAATATCTTTCGAATATGGTGTAATTCTCTTTAGCAAGGTAATTGATAGCACTTTATATGATGTGCTAATAAGCGATATGCCTCTATAGTTTCGGAATTGTTCTTTGTTTCCTTTCTTATACATGAGAATTATAACGCTTTCATTTCATTCTCTAGGCATTTTCTGTTGTTTCCATACTCTCAGAATTATGTCATGCAATTTTTGGTGTAAAAGGTTTCCCTACTTTTTTTCTTTACTCTTTTCTTTAACAACTCTCCATTAATCCCATAATATCCTGGTGCTTTATGGTCTTTTAGAGACGCGATCGCATTCTTTACTTCCTCAAGTGTTGATGTTGGTATTTCTATATCTGCAAAATGAAACGTAATATTTGCTTCCTTCGACTCACTTTCAATATTTAGTAAATTCCGAAAGTATACCTGCCATTGTTCAATGATTTCCGTTTCTATAACTCTAAAAGAACATCACTTCACTAAAGAATTTCCTTATTTGATTCCTCTGGCTACTTCGGTCCATTTCCCGAATTTGCTGTTCTAGATAGCTCCTCTTTTTAGTTCTTAATAGTCGCCTTGTTTGTGCTCTTGTTCTGTTAACTGTCTTGTATTATTTCGTATATTATTATATTAAAGAGAAGTGGGCTTAACGAGTCACCCTATCTGACTCCGTTTTGTACTGGTATACACTGAGTTAGTTTTCCATTTATCTTTGCCTGTATTTGATTATGGAAGTAGATGTAATATTGATTGGTATGTTTTTTTTACAGTTGGTGTAAGACGTCTTTGACTTGGATGCGATCGAAAGCCTTTGTCAAGTCTATAAAACATAGATATGCTGGTTTATTGTACTCGATGGCCTTTTCTGTGATTTGTCTTAATACAAATACAGTTCATACCTCTTGATAATCTGACGAAATTGTTAGTTTATTGATTTTGTTGATTAGGACTTTTATGGTAAGCTTAAGTCCAATGTTCAGTAGATTTATACCTCTATAACTGTTGAGGTCTTCTTTATCTCCTTTCTTGAACTAAATGCTGTTTCTTCGTGCGCTTGGTATCTTGCAGTGCAATATTACCTTTTTTATAAGTTTTGTCATTTCTAGGGTTATACTTTCTCCTCCATGTTTTAGAATCTCGTTGGTTATTGCGTCTGGTCCTGGTGACTTTCTATTTTTAAGTGATTTTGTGGCTATTTTTACTTTCTGTAACTGATTTTTAATGTCGTGCCTTAATGAAGGTACGTTATTGTGTTCATTAATATTTTCTTTTTCTTTAAACAGTTCCATCAGGTATATTTCCCATTCGTTTGCTGGTATGCTATTGTTTTCCTTCAATTTTGCCATTTATTTCCGTAGGTTTCTTAGGAATCTACATATTTGTTTTTTATACCATAGAAGTCGCTTTTTATCTTTTTGTAAACTTTTCTCAGTGTTTTTTTTTTGTTCTTCTTACCAACTGCTTTGTTTCATTTCGTATTCTTCTGTAATAGTCGCGGGATTCTGGGTATTTAATGTGTTGTCCTTCGTGTAGGCCTCTCGTTTTTCTTCACATTTCTCTTTTATTTCTTTTCTGAGCCATGATGTATTGTTGGTATTTCTTTTGCTCAGTATGACTGCGTTTTAATTTTCTCCCAGCTGGCGTTTATATCTTCGATGTCGTCTATTTGTTTTAGCTGTATCTTCTGCGCTAGGCTCCTTTGGTACATTTCTCGTCTATATTCATTCCACAGTGATTTTATATTGAGTTTTTCCTCAGTAGAAAATGTCTTGGTAATATTTTCATTATTATCTTTGCTAGTACTAGTTTGTGTTCACTCTCTGCGTCTCCTGAAATTACAGTTCGGATATCTAAAATTTGCTTTGGGTGGATTATTCCATTAGTGGCTATAAAATTAATCATATATTCCTGCTCCCTAGAGTTTTTAAATGTATATTTATACTGGAGCTTAAATTACAGCTTATTGTTGGTTGTCAGATGTACTATTTTTAAGTTGGCACCATAGATTTTATAAACATTCTTTTGCGGCAGCCAACCTGCTAAACTATGGAAAAACAAGGTAAAGAAGGTTTCTTTCAATTGGCACTGCTAGCCTTATCATTATTTTCTATTCTTAATGTTCTTCTTCTTCTTCATGTGCCATTTCCTTTAAAAAGATTGGCAACCATCATGGCAATTCGCACTTTCGATGCCGCTACTTTAAAGAGGTGAGCTGAAGAGAACTACGAACGCTGTGTTCGTAGTTCTCTGGTTAAACCATGCTCTTATATTACTTAACCAGGAGATGTGTCTTCTTCCGCGACTTCTTCTACCCTGTATTCGTTGTTGCATTATTAATTGCAATAAGTTATAACGCTCGCCCCTCATGACATGTCCCAGATATTGCAGTTTTCTAACTTTAATTGTATTTAAAACCTATTCGTTACATCCGTTACTCTATCTACCCAAATTATTCTTAATACCCTTCTGAAGGCCCATAACTTGAAGGCTTCTAATCTGTCCGAAACATCTTTCTTTAATGTCTAAGCCTCCAACATATAAAATAATACCTAGAACACATAGCATCTCAGAAGTCTTATCTTTAAAAAATTTGAAATGTCCCTGCAGCAGAGTATTTTTTTCAGTTTATTGAAAAAATTTCTTGCCTGTCGTATTCTTGCCTTAATCTCTTCTGTGTACTTATTATTTTCGTTAATTATTGTACCCAGATATTTATATTTTTCAACTTTTTTAATTTGTTCTATATGTATTGTTATGTTTTCTTGGCGCTGTTGGGCTAAGAAAACAATTTTTAATTTATGTCAGTGTAAAAAATATTTCCCTAGTTAAAAAATGGAAATTTTAAAATAGGATTCGAACTGGAAGCCGAAACGTCGAATAAGAGTTGTAATTGTATAATGTTGTTTTAATTCCAAAGTTTAGATAACACAATATGTTTTTGTATATAGTTTTTTATTTTATATTCAATATAATGTTATACAATGCTACATTATTCTCTTTAGTATTATATTATTATATTTATACAGATTAACACGGTTACCTCATTTGGCTACCCAATTGAAACTTACCAAATAGAAACCGAAGACCACTATATTCTAACAGTATTCAGAATACCACATGGTCGAAATTCTACAACTTCTAACAATCTTCCAATTCTACTTAACCATGGAATGTTGGGATCAGCAGAAAACTACATTTGGCTAGGCCCTCAGAGATCTTTAGCCTACATTTTGGCTGACAAGGGATACGATGTATGGTTAATGAATTGTAGAGGAACATCTTACAGTAAAAAACACACAAGCTTGAGTCCAAATGAGAAACAATTTTGGAATTTTTCGTAAGTATAAAAAAGAAAAAAAATTTTAATCCTATTTAAAAAAAAATTTATAAATTCCACTAAAAATAATATTCGATTAAAATTTTAGATTTCACGAAATAGGTGTTTATGATATACCAGCTGTAATTGACTATATTCTAAATGTTACACACCAAAGCAGCCTTTATTATGTGGGCCATTCACAAGGATGTACCACAGTTTTTGTCATGGGTTCGGAAAGACCAGAGTATAATGAAAAAATTAAGTTGGCAGTTGCTCTGGCTCCAGGAGCAATTTATAAAAATTTTAACGAACCTTGGGTATTATGGTTACTCAATCATATTCCAATAAAGGAAGTAGAGGTAGGCAATTTTGGTACATTAAAATATTTGATTTTTTACTTTATTTAAATCGATGAATTTACCAGTTTTATAGATAGAGTTATATAGACAATAATTCATTCCAATAACCAAACATTGCTTTGATTAGCCTTGTTTTAAATTATTCCTATTGGAATTACAGGCTGTACTTCATCTTCTTCGATATATAGAATCAAAAACCTTCTAGAAATCTTAGCGGTATTTCATATTTTTTAGCTTTATTCATTAGTTCTCTAAGTGTATAAATATGATCTATGGTACTGAATCCACTTCTGAAGTAAGTTTGTTCTGTCGGCTGAGCAGCATCTAATGCGTTTGTTAATCTGTTGTTAATGATCTTTGTGAATATCTTGTATATGATTGGTCTGTAGTTTTTTATATCCTGCTAAGTACTGCTAAGATTTATTAGGTTTTATTGCCAGCATATTTAAGCAGTTCAATTATTATACCATATATTCCAGCTGCTTTTCATTTTTGTAAGTTTTGATTCTACTTCTTCCGAAAGGACTTCTGGTCTTCTTGGTTACTGATTACTTCTTCAAGTGTCAGGGGTTTTTAATAGTTTGCTGTAGAATTTAGTGACGAGTTGTATTATTCCATTTCTGTCTGTAATTCTGGTATTCTCCTTTGTTAGAGTAACGATTTGCTTCTTTCCAATGATTCATGCTTTTCTTGTTTTTTTATAGTTTTTCCTTTTTTGATAGCATTTTCTATCAGTTTTTCATTTTACTTTCTTATTTCTTCCTTAATAATTTTTCTTATTGTCTTACAAAGTTTAGTGTATTGTATTTACTGTATGTTGCTACTTACTTTTATTTCTCCTCTTTGTTTTAGTATAATTTTAGTTTTATCAGACAGTTTACTATGTTTATTTTGTTCTGGCGGGCCTCCAATTTTCTTTGGCACTAACAGGGCTGATTTCCATTAATTTCCATAAATATATATATATATATATATATATATATATATATATATATATATATATATATATAATATTACAATAATAAATTAAAATTTATTTTCCAACTTGTAACTAATTTAGTTTTTAGCTTTTAGCAGATGCACTTCAATTGTATCAAATCCCCCCACCATATTTCTCCGAAAATGATATAGCAGAGATGGCAACAATGTTCTGCGTAGAAAATAAGTTTCTAAAGAAAACCTGTAAAATGCAAATGGAAATGATGTCCAAATCGATGGTGGACAATGTAGATGAGGTAAACAATCCTGAAAATACTTAAACTATTTGTTCTCAAATTTTTTAGAAAGCTTTAAAAAAATCGTGAAGCAAATGGCTTATTGTAGCTGTATAAATTAAAAAGTTACAAAAAATATTTCTTTAAATGAAATAAGTTTTGAACAAGATTCTCAGCTAATCAACACTACCTAGTCATCAAAAAATAAACGTACGCGTAAATATATCAGTACACCATATACTTACTCAGTTTAATTATTCAAAATATTTAATTTAGATTACTACTTTTATTGGGAATAACCCTCAAATTACGTTTAAAATGAGTTTATTTTTGATATTTCGATTTTCACTTCGGAAATATGTGCCAAGTACTTTCTACTAATTCTTCTGCTACCGTGGGTACTTCACTGAATTTTTCTTTAAGTGTATCATTGAGTATTTTTTCTGAGAAAGTTTCTTGAGAAGTTTTTCGATGCTAGGTTTTATCATCTCTCTGTGTTTGATTTTCTTTAATTTAGATTAATTAAGATTTTACCAATAACAGGATTGTGGTTGGAAACGATGTCCGTTCCGGGATATGTTCTAACTGCCCTAATTCCATTTCTATAACGCTTGTCAATTAATATAATCAATCTGGTTTTTTATTATGTGGTTTTGATTATCTCCAGGTGCTTTCCTTGTATATAATCTTCTTTTTGGAAGTTTAAACCAGGTGTTTACGATCATTAGATTTTCTACTTGGCAAAATTGGACCAAAATTGGATCCTTTATCATTTCTTTGGCATATAAATAATACTGGCGGGGAATAAATCATTCTTTGCCATTCAACATCTAATGAGGTCAAAGCTTCTCTCAAGGCGTGCCAAAATCCAAATGTACAAAACCATAATTCGACCAGCAGTGACATATGGAAGTAAAACATGGACATTGAGAAAGTAAGAAATCAATAAGCTATTAGTATGGGAACGCAAAATCCTGCGAATTATATATGGTCCTTGCAGGGACAGCGAGACAAATGAATGGAGGAGCAGATACAACAATGAAATAGAGACTCTCTTCAGGAAAGGAAACATCGTAAGATACATAAAAGCCAATAGATTAAGATAGACAGGCCACGTGGTACGGAGTGATGACGACAGACTGATTAGCAATGTGTTTTGGGAAAGACCAGATGGTAGAAGATCGACAGGAAGGCCTAGAAAAAGGTGGAAAGACGCAGTCAGGGAAGACTTGGAAAAGATGGAAGTAAGGCCATGGGAAATAATAGCGCAGGATCGGAATCAATGGAAGGCAATAGTAAACGCGGCAAAAACTCACGAAGAGTTGTAAAAGCCAATGATGATGATTTCTTTGGCCCAAACCAAAGTTTGCGACTACAACTTCGATACGCTCTTCGCCTACTTTGGCAATAAAATTTCCCATAATAATGTCTATAGCATTTTTCTTTGTGATCTTCATTAGCTGTTTGTTCTCTTGTAGAATTCTCGTATTTCTATTTCTGGTTTTCTCCTGTATAAACATATACTTGAATAAAGTTATTATTTTGAGAAGTGGTATTAATGTGTAGCATAGCTACTCTATCAAATATAGGTATAATAGTATAGATAAAGGTATAAAGTTCTTTACACATTACATGTAATGATGTCTTACCTTATTCTATTTTAGTTTAGTTTTGAAGTAGGTTTTGGAATCCTTTTCTATTTAGTCTTCTTGCGGCTGGACCATTGTTAAATAATTCCCTCACTAGCTTATTTTGATGATGAATGATGCGTTCATTTTGTGACTCTGTGGCTAGATGAATTTCTTTTCTGATTAAAGGAATCTTTAAGTCGTAGTAAAGTGTTTGATTACTTACGTACCATGGTGCATCCTCTATCGATATTAACACTTTGGACTGGAATCTTTGTATAATATTCAGCGACGTTGGCTTTGCACAGCCGCATAGATCTAGTCCGTAGAACCAGATAGGTTTTTGTATGGCTTTGTATAGAAGAATATTGTTTTGGATGTCAAGTTTTGATTTACGTCCAAGGAGCCAATACATTTGCGGAGTTTTAAATCAAGCTGCCTTCTTTTGGTCTGGATATGTTTCTTTTAAGTGAAACGTTGGCAAAGATGAAGGCCAAGATATCTAGCGTCTAAAACTGTTGGTATTTTTAAATTTTCCATTCTTACAGGTGGTCGTATATTGTGATGGTTGGTAAATGTTATTTGAGTTGATTTTGTTTTATTTACATTTTTTCTTAATTTCGTTTACCAATCACTAAGTATGTTCTATGCTATGGGATCTTTATTTACAGCTAGTATTGCTACGTTGTCAGCAAAGGAAACGATTGTGGTATTATTAGTCTCTGGTATATCGGCTCTATAGAGTGAGAAAAGCAGCGGCCCTAGAATTGCGGGATTTAGGAGTTGATAAAATAAATGTTGGAATGTTGGTCTTTAAAGTTGAAAGAGACATGTCTATTTGATGTGTAGGATTTAAGTAAGAGGAAATAGTTATTAGATAGTGCTATTTTTACTTTGTAAAGCAGACCTCTGTGCCAGACTTTATCAAATCTTTGTGAGATGTTTAAAAATACACTGTTGCAGTAATTTGTTTTCTTCAAGATTTTTTGATATTTTATTGATCATTCCTTGGGTAGTGCAGTAATTTTCCCGAAAACCAAGCTGCTGTTTTCGAAGTAATATCAGGAAATTATGATCTGCCTATATCCTTTTTTAGCATCAATCTTTTAAAAACTTTGCTTACGGTTGGGAGTAGATAATGGGTGGATAAAATGGTACTTCATTGGTTCCGTTTCCTGGCATGAGGATCATAATGGCAAATTCACATATTTTTGGAAAGTATAATAAGCTTAGCATCGGGATAAATATAACTGTTAGAAAAGTAATGGTCTTGCGAAGAAGTTGTTTTAATTCTTGTGCCAAAATTAAATCATAACCTGGAACCTTTCATAAGTTGAGCTTGTTTATTTCTTTCTTGACTTCTGTAGGAGTAAAACTTTTAATTGGAAGGGATATTTGACATGCTGTGGTAACTAGTTCTTCCAATTCTTCATTGGGGTCTTCTAATACGTTTGTAAGATGTTCAGCAAAGACGTCCGCTTTTTCTTTATTGGAACAGGCCCATTCGCCATTTGGTTTACGAATAGGAGGAACAGTTGTGTATGGTTTCCTTAGCTTCTTAGTCGCCTTCCATAACGTCTCGTCTTTTGCTGTAGGGTTTGTAATATAATGTTCGAAGGTTTTGTTATTTACGGCTTTGATGGCATCTCCAAGTTGCCTACGTAGTCTATTGAATATATGTAGATCTATGTTGTTTCTAGATGTTTGCCAGCTTCTCCTCGCATGACGTTTTTCAGCAATGAGTTAACGAATGTGCAGGGGAACATTCGTGGTATGTGTTGGCTTGCATTCAGTTCGTGGTGTAGATTTCCATGCCGCTTTTTGCAGAAGTGTGGTGAAGTATTGAGCTGCTGTATCTATGTTATATGTAGATTTGATCCGCAGATTACGATTGGTGTTTTCTGCTGAGTAGAATTGAAAATCTATCCAGCTGCTGTTTTTTTGACGTGAGTCAAGGAGGTGGTGGGTTGTTCATAACTCTGGTAGTCAGACTCATAATAACCGGGATATGATTCGATGACAGATCATAGCTGTATTTTATTAGACAGTTGTTTCTGGACACTCCTTTGATTATGTAGTAGTCCAGTAATCCTGGAAGTTTTTTTGGCTCACTCTTCTTCTTCAGATGCAAATCCACTAATGGATGTTGGCGATCACATTTTCCATTAATTCTCTATTACTTGCAATATGTATTAGAAATTGTATGTCGTTAATCCCTGTCCATTGCCTTATGTTTCGGAGCCAGGACATTTTCTTGCGTCCCATTCCTCTCTTGCCTTCAATTTTACCCTCGATTATAAGTTGGAGGAACTGGTATTTTTCATTTCGCATGATGTGACCTAGATACGCCGTTCTCCTTTTCTTGATGGTTTTGAAAAGTTGGCGTTCTTGGTTTATTCTTTTAAGGACATCTATATTTGTGATTTTCGCTGTCCATGGTATTTTTAGGATACGGCGATAAAGCCACATTTCGAAAGCTTCTAATCTGATTATATCCCTCGTTTTGAGTGTCCTACCCTCTACGCCATATAGCAGCACTGACCATACGTAGCACTTAGTAAACCTTAGTCTCAGTTGAAGATCAAACTCTGAACAAGTCAGTATTTTCTTGAATTTTACGAAAGCTTGTCGAGCTCTTTCAATGGACTTAGTATTCAGTTTTATGGTGGAGTTTTCAAGTGCATCTAAGTTTCTGGAGATGATTATAAATTTGGTCTTTTTGGTAATAATCTCTAATCCCATTCGCTTACTGTATTCTCTGATTTTAGTGACAAGTTGTTGAAGATCGACTATGTTGTCAAAAATTAAGACACCATCATCAGCATATCATATGTTGTTGATCAATACTCCATTCACCTTGATTACCATCTCTGCATCCTCCAAAGACTCTTGAAATATGGCTTCCGAATAAATGTTAAATAAAAGAGGGGAAAGCACACATCTCTGTCGAACGCCTCTTCTTATATGTATGGGTTTGGATATAGAATTGTCTATTTTTAACTGTGCCGTTTGATGCCAGTACAAGTTTTCAATGCATCTTATGTCTTTTTGGTCTATATCAACTTTCTTGAGAATCCGCATTAACTTGTGGTGTTGGACACGATCAAACGCTTTTTGGTAATCTAAAAAGCATAGGAACACATCCTTCCTCTGATCGTAACAATTTTGGACCAGCATCTGTGTTGCTACTATTGCTTCTCGTGTTCCTAAACCTTGCCTAAACCCGAAATGGGAATCACTGATGTCCCATTCACATTTTTTTGTATAATCTTTGATGAAGTATTTTTAAGAATATCTTTAAAGTGTGACTCATCAGGCTAATGAGTCTGTGATCCTCACATCTTTTTGCATTGACTTTCTTGGGTAGGGGAATAAAGGTAGAGCGTAACCACTGTTGAGGATAGCAGCCAGTTTCATAAATTAAATTAAATATTTTGTGTAGTGTTGAAATTCCCCTTTCATTTAGTAATTTGAGTATTTCTGACGGGATTTCATCTGGTCCAGGTGCCTTATTGTTTTTTGAATTTAATATTGCCTTTTCTATCTCCTCTTTGGTGATTGAAGGGCCAGTCAGCTGGTCGTCTGTATAAACTTCACTCATGGGTCTTTCGTCATGAAAGAGCTCCTGGATATAATTTTCCCATATATCAATTTTCTCCTTTTCACCTAGCACTATCTGGTTATCCTGATTAACTATGGTAGTTGGTCTTCGTTTTCTGTATATTCCAGCAGTCTCCTTAGGCTTTTTATGTAAATTACGGTCGTCGTGCTGTCGTTGTAAATGTTCTAGGTCGATACATTGTTACTTAAGCCACTTATTTTTTCAGTCGGGGTCACTCGGCCAATACGATAACGACCTTTTGTGTTGTGAGTCTTGACCTCCAGTGTATGTGTTTCGAATTCCAGTCTCCTTCAGCTATGAATTTGCTGCCAAGTTATTAGAACAGGCTTTGTATTTATCTGTGGAGATTGTGTGACGAGTTAAGCTATACATTGCAGATATGTTAAAGTGTCAAGGCGTTGCATTTACTTGAATGATTGCTGCTTGCATTTTTTTCTGTTGCATATTTCGGCAATACATGATGATCGGTAAAGTGGGTTTCTGAAATAAGCAGAACATAAATTTTATTTAGGTTCAAGAAAGTAATTACTTCCTGCTTATGGTTTAGCATTTCATTAGTGTTCCATGTGGCAACTTTAAGTATGTTTAAGAGTTTCTTTGGTTAATGAACTGTGTTAATGTGAAGTTTAATACCATATTATTTTGACATATGAGTTGCGAGAATATGTTTTTGAACTCCTTTAGGAATGTTAAATGGGTTTATTTGAAACATACTCTATTAAACGGTATTCTCTTAGTCCCATAAACGGATATATTTATTAAGGGGTGAATGAAAATGTTTCGGAACTTTAAATTTTTTATTCCTTAAACCGGGATATTTCTATAATCGGTATTCCAATAAGCAAGTTTGACTGTATCTAAATTTAAATAAAATACTTAAGTTGATTATTTTTGTATATAATGAAGCTACATTATTATTTTTTTATTTTAGGCGGATATACCATCCATATTTAGTACATTAGTTAACACAATCTCAGTAAAACAGGGTTTCCATTATGGTCAGTTGATCCTATCAGGTATGCGTACAATACTATTATTATAGCAAAAAAGATGTTTGTGATCTTACAAAAAACGTAGTAGAAATAGTCGGCTTCAGCATAGTAATATTTTTCTAATAGTTTTTTACAATTCTTAAACCTGTTTATTTGAAGTATTTTGTCCCTCAGAGATGGTAGTATTATTCTTTTGTATGTTCAAAAAATATGTAATTCAATTGTATTGGAAACTTTTAAAGGCATACAGTCCACTGATGAATTGTTTTTTTTCCACATAACACAACGAAAATATACAATATCGTATACACATATATACATACAGATTGAACGAATTAAAACGGATCATACAATTTAATATATGTCTGTTTGAAATGCATTTGAAATAGTGGACCAATATTAAATTTGTACCACTGATGAATTGTGTTTTTCCACATAACACAACGAAAATATACAATATCGTATACACATATACATACAGATTGAACGAATTTACTACGGATCATACAATTTAATATATGTACGTTTGAACTGCATTTGAAATAGTGGACCAATATAAAACTTGGACAAAAATAAATCCATACCCGGTGTTAGACATTGTATAAAATATCGTTCAACTATCCGTCTCCTCTTAGAACCCACCATAGTCTAGAGCGCAGCTCAAAGTCAATGTTGCCAATCGCCGTGTAATAATCCGATTTGCGGATCTTTTTGAGAGTTATATCTTCTTCGTATCTTTAAATAAATCGGATATTTGCCTATATTTTTCATTGTATTTACCAATCTACTACAACAGACTAATAACAAAAATAAACTTAATGGTTTGTAGTTATTTCAGAAGTTTGTAGTTATTTTAGAAACATAAAGTGAAATGATATTGGCAACACCGCTCAAAATCTCCATCTCCGATAAACGAAAGAGGGGCTTGCCTAAAGGCGGCCACTCACGATACTTTAACTACACACTTTTTTTGATCATATTATAGAAAATCGAAATGGCTTGATTTAGCGAGAATTTTTTAAGAGAGTTTTTGAATGAGTTCTTAAATTAGTTCAGAATCCAGCAGCCCGCTGAAGTATTGGATTTTTATAATATAATTATTTGACAACCTTTTGTTGGCCAACCACCTACAGCAGAATTGAGCCGAAATACATAATATTTCGTATGTTCCGAATTTATTTCGTTTTGCCTATCTATTTAGTAAACATCCATTTAGTAAACTACTGCATAGATTATTACCTACGATCAAATAATCGACAGATAGTGCAAGTGTTTGAATTTGATTTATACAATTGTCCCAAAATTACATTTATATATATTCAAGGGTATAGATAAAAAATTTCGTTTACAAATATACAAGGATTGTGAAGTAATTAGACAGTTCTAACTTACAAACAAAATTATTTAACTTCTCCGGTCCTGATAACATTCCTGCAATATTTCTTCAAAAACTTCCTACATCTGCAAAGAAACACTTGCTGAATATCTATAATAATATATGGAGATATAGCAAGTTTCCAAAAATCTGGAGTTCATCTATTGTCATCCCTATTTATAAACAAAATCAACCAAAATCTCTGTCACATTCATATAGACCTATTTCTCTAACTTGTGTAATGTGTAAAGTTCTCGAGAAAATCATATCCAACAGATTAATGTGGTTTTTAGAAAATAATAAATTACTTGCCCCGGAACAAAGCGGATTCCGAAAAAGTCGTTCAACACTGGATAATCTTATTAGTTTAGAGTCTGAGATTCATGAAGCAATGGCATGTGGACAAAAATGTATCGCAATATTTTTTGACATATCAAGAGCATACGATACAGTTTGGCGACATGGTATTGTTCAAACACTTAGTCGATGGGGAATAAAAGGTAATATAGCACAATTCATAAAAAATTTCCTATCTCATCGAACTTTTAATGTACGAGTTAACGGTACTTTATCTAATACAAAAATTCAAAAAAACGGAATTCCTCAAGGATCTAATTTAAGCGTCTCCCTATTTCTTATTGCAATAAATAATATTATCTCCACTTGTGACTTACCAGTAAAAGCTAGACTCTTTGCAGATGACTTAATCATTTTTGTTAAGGGATAAATGATAAAACCCTTCAGACCCATCTACAGAAAGTGCTATGGAATCTCGAATTATGGACAAATTCTACAGGTCTTCAATTATCAACAACAAAATCAAAGGCTATGCTATTTTCAAAAAAAAGAAGTTATATCACTCCAGAATTAAAACTATTTAATAAAGAAATAAAATATGTTGAGAAAATTAAATGTCTAGGCATGTCATTTGACAACAAATTATCCTGGAACCACCACATTCATGATCTAAAAAGTACTTGTCAATCTGCACTTAACATTATAAAAACTGTTGCATACAACACGTGGGGAGCAGATAGTAAAACACTGACCCTTATGTACAAGTCATTGATCAGGTCCAAACTCGACTACGCTTGTATTATTTATGATTCAGCAAAACCATATATCATAAAACAACTCGATCGAATACAAAATAGTGCTTTGCGAACTATACTAGGTGCTTTTTATACTAGCCCTACTGAAAGTTTACACTGTGAAGCTGGAGAAGTCCCCCTGGAATTCCGAAGAAAACAACTTTCACTAACATATGCGGCATCAATACAGGCAAATCCTATGAATCCTGTTAATCACAATGTAAATTCAGACCGTTTTAGGAATATCTTTAAAACTCATGCTAGGCTTGACCTTCCTTTTTATGAAAGGGTAAATAGATACCTCAATGAACTTGAATTCAAATTTCAAGATATCTATTGTATACCCGATATTAACACTGTTCCCCCTTGGACTGTTCCCATCCCATCTATCAATACCAAACTCTCCATATATAAAAAAGCAGATAACCATCCCAAAGCATTATATCAATATGTCCTCCAAGAATTCAAGACATACAGTAACCATACACTTATATATACCGATGCCTCTAAAACTATAGATGGAGTGGGAGCAGCATTTATGTCTAATAAAACAAAAATATTAATGAAACTCCCTAAATTAACATCCATTTACACAGCCGAATTAACTGCTATTCTCAATGCAATAAATTTTGTGGTAGAAAATAGTATCAAAAACCCTGTCATTATTACGGATTCCCTAAGTTCTGTAATTGCCCTAAATAACTTATATCCTAGTCATCCAAGTCTACTACTTATTAAATCAGCATTAAGCCAACTGCAAACTATGAACATAAATGTCAACTTTGTATGGATTCCTTCCCATATTGGAATTGCTGGTAACGAAGAAGTAGATTCCTTGGCAAAACTAGCAATCTCGAGTCCGGAAGCTGTAGAAATCAGAAGCATTCCACATCTAGATATAAAACCTGTAATCAAGAACTTAGTAATCAATGATTGGCAGACCAAGTGGAATCAATCAACATCCAAACTACCAGAAGTAAAACATTCCATATTACCTTGGAAATCAACCCCAAATAAGCGTAAACATCAAACCATCCTATCTCGTCTGAGAATAGGCCACACCGCCATCACCCATAAACATCTGCTAGAGAGTGAATTAAAACCAAAGTGCAACATATGTGATATTGTGCTCAGTGTTCGCCATATTTTACTGGAGTGTCCTTTATATCGCATGGAGAGACTTCAATATAAATTACAAGATACCTTACAGGCAATATTAAGTGACGGAACTGATATGAAAAATTTGACATCATACTTACATTCCATAAATGTACTAAATAAACTGTAAAACTCTAAATTGTACAACGCCAATGACCCTATGAGGTTGAGGCATAAATAAATAAAAAAAAAATTATTTAAATTTAAGCTCAATACTTACAGTTTATCGTGTCCAGACATATTATTCATAAAATTTCGGCCCAGTATCGGGCGACATTGGTTTCATTTTTGTTGGCGAGCCACAAATTTTCGAGGGTACATCGATAAGGACAGTTTCTGCATGTAATATGATGGTTCATATGCTGTGTTTCTTCACAGTCACATTTCAAATTATCTTTATCTATTTTTATCCATTTTGCAATGTTTGATTTTACTGGAGCGACCCCCGTTCTTATCCTATTCATATTTTCTCACGTTTTAAAGTCTAGGGACTGGCCGGTTTATTGAACCTAGGGTAGAGGAAGATACTCAGGCGGTTCATCCTGTATTGTTCCAAGGAAGTTTTTCCTGAATTTAAGTCACTTTCGTGGTGTTCGAGCTTTATATAGGGCGTGCTGCTCGTCTGCGAGCTGTTTAATTTTCTCTATGTGCTCTGCAATGCCTCTGCGTGTTGAGGGTTCTGCAAAACCCGCTGCTTTATATAGAATAGATAGTGGCGTTGGTTTCTTGCACCCCTTCACAGCATGCCCCATTTAGCGCAGTATTAACTTGTTTGATGTGGGCATATCTGCCCCAAACCGTGCCTGTACCGTTGTTCTTAAAACGTCAGGACGTGCATTTTATTTACTTCTCGTCAGCTTTCTGAGTATGCTGTTTCTAGTTGTTACTTTCCCTCTCGTTTTTATGCAATGTTGTCTGTAGGTGAGGGACCAGTCCAGAGTTACTCCAAGATAAATAGGTTGGTTTTTATGTTCTAATATATTTCAATTCCATGCAATTTGTAGTTTTCGCTTGGCTTCCTTTGCGCGAAGGTAGAAAGTGCAGACTTGGGTTTTAGAGGGATTGAGTCTTAGGGATTTCTGAAAGTAGTACGCTCTCATTGTTTTTAAGGCAGTTTTAAGTTTCTCCTCCACTTCTTCAAAACTATTTCGTTAAGCACATATTGCAAGATCGTCAGCATAGAGGACGTGCTTGGTTTCAGTCAGCATAGGTTAGTCGTTTGTGTATACATTGAAGAGCATTGGTGCTAAAACAGTTCCCTATGGGAGGTCGTTTTTTAACTCTTCACCTACTTACTTTACCCTCCAGCATAAACAAAAAACGTTTATTTTGCAGTAAGGAATATACGACCTTACCCAGATGGTGGTCCTTGAAAGTGTCGTATAGTTTGCGGAGCAATGTTTTGTGCCTTACTGTGTCATAGATCAATTTAGCAGGCTTGGCTGCACGTGTTATAAAGCTGCAAGATCCAGTTTTTTGCTTCTTGGCCTAAATGCTTTATTTGTAAACTGCATATATCATCCACACCTGCAGCTTTGCCGTTTTTTAATCTGTTCATACCGTCGTGGAGTTCATCGTCTGGGGATAGCTTTTCTAGACATATTTTTAAGTACCTTTACAAATTTTTCGCAGTTCTCTACTTTTGGTTCAAGACGAAGCAAGAATCTTGAATGTCTACATACTTTTTCCAGTTTGCCTTTTTAAACTTAAATCTTCTACTGAGTGGAATAGCTTGTGTTCTGACAATTGGAAAGATATTTGTACCAATTGGTATATGCTGAATTTTTGGTATGGAGCCATATTCTACTATGGTGTTCTATTTGGTACATCGGTCTTCGAGGTTATAATTTGAGGTTATTATAACAGCCTCCATTTAGACATCACTAGAATAGCATAAGTTTATTAATTTAACAAATAGTTTACTATTTATTACATTAATAGTATACAAGTAAAATAACAGGCCTAGTGTTTTCCTTGAACCTCCTCCGATAATAATTCTATACAGATTAAGTCGATCTACGGCCTTCTGCGAAAAAGTCAAATACTCTTTAGATCTAGCGACCTACTCGATTCTAAAAATTAAATGTAATTTTTGTTTTAATTGTATTTATACTTCTTTAAAAATATTTTAGGAAATTTTCAAAATTACGACTACGGTCCGAAGATAAACCAACAGAAATACAATTCTACTTCTCCTCCGTTATACAATCTACAAAACATAAAGTATGCAACTGCTTTGTTTTCTGGAAAAACTGATGAATTGGTCACACCAGAGGTAAGTAAATCATAAATCAACAATTATAGTTACAAAAATTTATAGTTTTGCGTTCATGTTTTCACTTGTTGATCATGTCATGATCATGACGTACCCTTGCCTTTGTCAAGATTCTAAAATGTACAAGATTAGGAACAAAAAGTTATTGTAAAATATATAAAACTTACCAAAACGTAAAACGGGACACTGACAATAATGAATTAGACAGATTTGCCGTTTTTCTTATATTATTAGTAACTTTGGTTTTTCAAATACATCACTCTGTATATTCAGTCATTATTGGAATCTCCTATTCAATACGAGTTCAACCATATGTAACACTTATGATTTTATGTAATCTGGAAGGTCATAAATACATAAAACCGAAGTCTGGCGACGCCTAAATTGTTTCAATAAATTTTTTAATACTAACTATTTTCAAATACATTAAAACGTAACAATTGATAGTTTAGAACATTTGTTAACATAGTAGTTATGTTATTAAGTGTTCAAAATGTGCTCAATTTGTGAGTTGACAGCACCCTAATCGATGGTAGAAGGCGTCTCTCACATTTCTCCATGATTGTCTAGAAATTATTCGAGATTCATTGATAATCCGTTGCCTTAGCTCTGCACGACTTGCTGGTTAAGTTTTGTAAACTGAATTTTTCAAGTATTCCTAATAAAAATAATCTTTAGGATTGAAATCGGGTGAACGTGGAGGCCATTCAATTCTACCTTGTCTACCAATTTATAGTCCAGGAAATATCTCATCTAAATATCGCCGAACATTTACACCAACTATCTGACGTTAAATTTCTTTCGACAAAAAATGACCCAATTGAATAATTAACTACTACGTCTGACCATACACTTAATTTTTGTGGTCTTTGAGTATGGTTTTAACGCATTCAGTCTTCAGTGTGAATTTACGTTACACCAGTACCTTAAATTGTGTCGAATTACACTTCCACACAGTGTAAAAGTTGCTTTATCGGAAAAACATATTCTGTTAACTAAATTTTAATAATTTTCAATTTTATCCATCACTACCTCAGTAAAATCTAATCTACGACCAGATGACAAAGTCATCTTCACTTAATTCTTGCAATAAGTTAATTTTGTATGATTTAAATTTATTTTTACGTAATAAAAGTAAGACTGAAAAATGACTTACATCATAAACTAGTGCAACTCTGTCTGGAAATGTATGTGGATCTTCAACAAAACTTTGCTTATATCTGAAGTTTTGTTGTCATTGATAACTCGTTTCGGTCAACCTGATCGGTATCTATCTTTTACTTCTCCAGATTCCTCAAATCGCCTTGCAGTTTTTTGTAACGTCGTCTTATGAATAGGAGAACGGTTTAGAGAACGGCATTTTAGAGAAGCAATTTAAATTGCAGAACTTTTTGAACCACAACTACTGTCAATTTTAGTTCATAATTTAAATGGTGAACAAATGTCAAAATCACAGTATGGTCAGATAGTAGGTACTTATTTAATTGGGCCATTTTTTATCGAAGGAAATTTAACGTCCGATAGTTGGTGTAAATGTTCGGCGTTATTTAGATGAGATATTTCACGGACGATAAATTGGTAGACAAGGTAGAATTGAATGGCCTCCACGTTCACCCGATCTCAATCCTAAAGGTTATTTTTATTAGATAGAGATACTTAAAAAATTCAGTTTACAAAACTTAACCAGCAAGTCTTGCATAGCTAAGGTAATGAATTATCGGTGTATCGAAATAATTTCTAGACAATCATGGAGAAATGTGGTAGACGCATTCTACCATCGATTAGAGTGCTGTCAACTCACAAATGGAGCACATTTTGAACACTTAATAACGTAACTATTTTGTTAAAAAAGATTCTAAACTATCAATTGTTACGGTTTAATGTATTTAAAAATAGTTAGTATTAAAAAATTTATTGAAACCATTTAGGCGTTGCCATACTTCCGTTTTATGTATTTAAGACCTTCCAGGCTACATAAAATCATAAGTGTTACATATGGTTAAACTCGTATTTAATAGGAGATTCCAATAATGACTGAATATATAGGGTGGTGCATTTGAAAAACTAAAGTTACTAGTAATATAAGAGAAACTGAAAATCTGGCAACATTGCAAATACCAAATATGGAATTTCTGTATCCCATAATAGGCGTATCTCAAATTTTGTATAATTATGTCTAGTAATTTACGAGATAATTAGCCGTTTCCAGACTTTTGGGCCACTCTGTATATAACTTAGGTTCTCTGTATCTTTTGTGTCATTGATCGCGTTCTTCTTCTATATGTACCATGTCCTTTCAGAACGTTGGTTACCATCATAGCTATTTTAATTTTATTCACTGCCACCCTAAATAGCATGCTTGTATCTACACCATACCAATCTCGCAAGTTCTTCAACCATGAGGTTCTTCTTCGTCCTGAACTGCGTTTGCCTGCTATTTTTCTTTGCATGATATTTTGTAGCAATCTGTATTTAGGACCTCTCATTACATGTCCGAAATATTCCGAAATATTGATTGCGTTGGCAGTTCTTTATATTTCTATTGATTCGTATATCTCCCTCTTCTTTTTGTTTTAGTCGGTTTTTAAAATTTTGATGTTTCCGAAGTCAAATTTATGCTTCTTCTCATTTTTATGTCTTGTAAGCGCAGTGATGTTGTTCTTGTCAAATTTATGACAACATATTCTGGATTGAAGGAGTTAACTGGTTTGCCTTATATTGACACCTTCCGAGTTAATACATGGTATCTCGCAAACAACATGTGATTTTTTGAGTTTTGGAGTTTGTTTTTTTTTGTGTTGTGTTTGTGTTGTTGCCTTTGTGAGCCACTGTTATATTATGTTTGACTAAAAGATTTGTTAGTTGTCCGAATAAACCCTTTATATGGAATAGTTGTACACGTAGTCTTCATATTGTTAGATTTAGTTATTTGTATTGTTATAAATTTATTAAATCTTGATTTGAAAATAGTTTCCATTAGATGTTATGGATGTGCATTATTTAGAAGGGCATTTTCTGCTTTTTTTGTTGCGGTTGGTCTGTATTCTGGATCTGTTAGTTTTATAGATTTATCAGCAAGACCTATAATTACAGACTTCTTATGAAAGAATGGATTATGAGATTTACAGTTGAGATCTATATGTATAATAATATGTATATATATATATATATATATATATATATATATATATATATTAGAGTTTTTTCATGATTTCCCTCCATCCTTCTCTGTCCTGAGCTAGTTGTTCGGCTTCATGTAACCCTTGGTTATTCAATATTTTTGTTTGATATACCCAACGGCTTGGATATCATGATGATCATCATGAACGGCTTAAAGCTAAATGAAAAGCAACAGGTTTAACACCCACGCAAACAACGTGAAAAGACAGTGACCTTGAGGTCAAAATATGACAGAACAGCAAGGCAGTTACCAACCTCTCGTGCAATAGAGCGGTACATTTAAACAATATGATAAATTTGGGTAAATCATGTATAAGTAAAAAGTAATGGCATGTCTCGCAAAACAGAAAACGAAAAATGGTATATTGATGGAAGGCAACCGTATATAAGTATTTCTGACTATCATCCGGCGCTTCTAACTCTAATACCACAAATTGGTAGCATTGCTCCTGTACTGATCCTTTCCTAAGTTAATATGCTCCTTTTCTAACTTGGCTGCACCGTACTGAAGACGACCAAGAGTCAGAAATACATATATACCGCTGACCTTTATTAATCACTCGCATTATCCTTTTCCATTTGTTTTATATATATATATATATATATATATATATATATATATATATCTATATATAGATATATATATATATATATATAAATATATATATATATATATATATATATATATATATATATATTTAATATTGTTCACTAATTTAAATAATTTATTTACAGGACACCCAACTTTTAGCAAGTCAACTGCCAAACCTGGTACACTATTCGACAGTTCCTTTACCTCGATTTAGTCATGTCGACTTTATTATTAGTAAGAGTAGTAGAAATCTTTTATATAAACCAATTTTAAAACTATTGCGCAAATTTAAAAATAAATGAATTAGTATGATTTTCTGTTGTTTTTATCATTTTTTTTAAATTCAGCTTCTACAGTATTGTAGAATTTATATAATGTAATGACGGTATTAGATTTTATTTCGATGAAAGGCACCCGCAAACCGCTTATACGTATTTTAACCTCTTAAAGTCCCATCAGAACGACAAAATTTGCTCTGAATCGAAACAAAATCTATCCTCTCATAGGACAATAAATATAAAAATAATTATATACAGACGTTACAACTCCATCTAATAACAACAAGAGAAATCCTAAGATTACTTGACGAAACTAAATTCAATTGTTTTATAAGGTGAAGGAAATGGACAGAACCGAAATATACGACCTACAAAAATTTCGTACTGGACAAGAAGAAAAACAAAGTAAAGTGGACCGATATTAAAATATTGCAAGTCAAAGCAGCTAGTGAGCACAACGATACAAAAACAATTTATTATAAATATGATTATAGTTCTGAATTGTCATATAAGGAACTAATTATTGTTAACAATCCACAAAAAAAAACGCGGTGCTTGTGTTGGTCGTCCTAAAACACTTCTTCTAAAACAGGCCTACCAATAAGAACTGAAAATTTCACGAAAAAAACAAGAAGACTTTGTCACTTTGTGCAATAAGAATCTGATTGAGAAACCTTATCAAAATTTTTACCTTACTGTAAGGAGTGAGTGATAACATTGTAAATATTATAATCATTATACCGTAATTTCGTTTCCCCAATCAGTTCTAATTAACCAGCAAATAAGTTAATTTAATAACCTTGGTTCGTTAGTAAATGATTAGTTTATTTAGTTATTAACGTAAGTGTTTTTGAATCAAATTAAAATTGTCTTGTGTAAAACTTAAAACAAAAATTGTACAAAATTTTAATGTAACACCACCATAAAACCAAATTTGCATGACGGCATAATAAACAATTTGGTTTAAAACCTCCTATTATTTAAAAAAAATCATGTTACTGTACACCAGGGGTACTCAAACGGTCGATCGCGATCGACTGATCGATCGCGAGTGCTTTTTGGGTAGATCTCGAGAAGAAAAAAAATTTTAATAAGTAGGTAGGTAACTAAACTACTGTCAGCAAAGTTAAACGTTTTTATTAATACTGAACTATACAAATACATAGAATGCATCATTGCAATTCAAAGAAGTGGGGACAACAAAATACTGTCTACACAGCATATTTTATATTTACATATATTAACTAATTATTTTATTAATTCAATATTTATTATAATTATTAATCAAATTTGGGATGAGATTATATCAACTACAAAAATGTATTACGTAATAAAATAACACTGCTTGCGGCAAAAGTTGGCTTTATCAAAGGAATGCGCGGCACTTGTCAAAGAAAAGCCGTGTTGTTTCTAGACGAGAGACAGTACAGTCTAGTTTCGGGCGGTGCGTTTGACGGGAACATTCGAGACTTTCGTTCACGCCGAATATAAATGTTGCGCCTGCAGGAATTGGAGTTATTCTGAATTGTAACTTGATAGCGATTCTACGTCGATACAAAGTTTATTATTAAATAGTGGAAAATGAGTGCAGTGAAGAAATCTAAAACGTATCATTTTAATAAGGATTGGGAGGAAGAATTTTTCTTTTCTATGGTGAAGGATAAGTGCATTTGTGTTATTTGTCGTGCGTCAGTTGCAATACCTGAGCGTGGTAACTTAGAGAGGCATCATAAAACGGTTCATAAAAACTATTAAAAGGATTTTCCGCCACAGAGTGAATTAAGAAAACGAAAAGTAAGTGATTTGATATCTTGTTTGAAAAAAGAACAATCCATGTTCACAAGACCAGCCAAACAATCAAAAGCTGCTACGATCGCGTCATTTAAAATATCTCATATTTTGGTGAAACATAAGAAACCATTTGAAGATGGATCGGTGGTGAAGGAAGCATTTATTGAAGCGGGTGAGACTTTATTTGGAGATTTTAAAAATAAAACAGAAATCACGTCTGCTATTAGAGAACTTCAGTTATCTCGTCCGACTGTCACAAGGCGTATTGAAGTCATGAGTCAAGGCATCGCAGATAAACTAAAACATGATATCATGGAATGTACATACTTTTCTTTACAGTTCGACGAATCCATCGATATGACAGACACTGCCCAGCTGTGTATTTTTATTCAGATGGTATTTAATGACATGTTGGCTAAGGAAGAATTTTTGACAATCATTCCTCTGAAGGGGAAGACCCGTGGCGAAGATATATATGACGTTTTCTTAAATTTTGTAAAAAATTACGAGCTACCAATATATAAATTAATGTGAATTACAACCGATGGGACACCAGCAATCCCTGGAAACAAAAACGGTTTTGTGGCATTGTGTCGAGCTAATGAAGAATTCCCTTCATTTTTTTCATTCCATTGCATTATACATCAAAAAGTTTTGTGTTCAAAAGTTTTAAACACGGAGGAAATTATGGGCATTTCAACAAAAATTGTGAATTCCATCCGTGTACATAGCTTGTAACGGCGGCTCTTTCAGTTGCAGTTGGAAGATAGGGAGTCAGCTGAACACACTGATTTAGTTCTTCACACGGACCTCAGGTGGTTAAGTCGCGAAAAATTCCTAGAAAGGTTTCAAGACTTATTGCCCGAAATAACAGCTTTTCTAGACGAAAGAGGTGATGACACTCAGATTTTGAAAATCGAAAAATGGCTAAATGATTTGGCATTTTTGACTGACACCACAATGCACTTAAACACAGCTAACTTGGAGCTTCAAGGTAAAAGAAAAACTATTATTGAGATGATTAGCGCAGTAAACGCATTCAAAAGTAAATTGCAACTTATGATAGATCAACTGAAAAGAAAGGATCTGAAACATTTTCCGTCTTTGAAAGCAAGGATTCCTCAGTTGAATTATGATACGTATGAGGCTGAATTATCAAATATTTTGGGACAATTCGAAATGCGTTTTTATGATTGCAGTAAATTGGAAAATATAGCATCATTTATGAGTTATTCTTTTTCATGTAAAAACATTGAGGAATTAGCTACTGAAATAGCAAGTCAGTTTAATATGAACTAATGTTCTGTTGAAAATGAGTTGGTGCGGATTATATCACATCTCAAAGCTACAGTATCTGATACAAATTTCTGGCGTTTTATATCTGAAGATAAATATCCGAATGTAAGGCAAATCGCCCTTCAACTGACGGCATTTTTTGGGTCAACTTACTTGTGCGAGTCTGCATTATCTGAAATGAAGATAATTAAGTCAAAATATCGCAATCGACTAACTGACGATCATATGACATCATGCTTGCGATTAGCACTCAGTGGTTACGTACCATCTTATGAAAAGTATGCTGAGGACATGCAGTGCCACGCTTCAACATTCAAAGCCAGTTAAGTCTTAAGTCTTAAGTTAAGCCTTAGTTAAGTTTAACACGATATGTAACTCTTTTGTTTTGTAACAACAAATAAACTCGCAATTTTGAATAACTATGAGTTTTTTCATTGATATTGTAGAGAAGAACCTAACTAAACCTAACCCAAACCTTGACTAAAATAATGTACCTATATTGTGCAGAAAGCTAATATCTATATATGCTACGGTACGCCCTACCTAGGTAGGTAGGGTGTATCGTGTATGTCTCATCACACACACTTGCAGTCTCTCAAAGTCGATCGTAAGTAGTCTAAAAATATTGAGGTAGATCGCCAGCAGTTCAAGTTTGAGCACCCCTGCTGTACACCATTAGTCAGACAATAAAAAGAACTAATTGAATTTTAAAATTTATTACAAGAAAGATCGATCGTGACTTTTTTTTACCATAATGAAAACTTTGGGTTGATTTTTTTAAAACTATACAGTTTTCAGTTATGTTGGTGTTCTATTGAGAGTGCGATACGGTGCTATACGATGGCATAATAAATTGGAGAATATTTTATACGCTGCATTTAGGAGCGTAATTCCTCGATAGTTAGAGCATTCAAAGATATCTCCCTTTTTGTGTATGGTGCAAAGTATTCCAATATTCCAATTACTGGGAAGGGACTTATGTGTCCATATTTCTTTTATAAGCTCCTGTAGTGTTATTATGATATCGTGGCCACCTTCTTTATATAATTCCGCTGGGAGATTATCTATTCTGGGTGATTTGTTTCTGGCTAGTTTGTTTACAGCGTCTTTAACTTCTAGGATCGTTGGTGGATCCTCATCCCTCTCATCTCCTCCGCTTACCTCACAGCTTTCGTCTTCCATGTTTTCTTCTTCCTCCTCTATATTAAGTATCTGGTGATGTTAACTTTCTTATAGAGTGTTCTGAATTATTTTTTTCTGTTAAGGTTTTCTATATATTGAAGATTCTTTTTTAAGTAGTTTCGTTTCTTTATTCTGTGTATTTTCTTTTATTCTCTTCTCTTTGTCTGGTATTTCTCTATACTTGTTCTAGTTCGGCGGGTAAGCATTTTTGCGTAGGCTTCATTTATTTTCTGTGCTGCGTCTTTGCATTCATCGTCAAACCAGTGATTTTTTCATGTACAAGTTTCTGTTCCTATTTCTTTTTCTGCTGCTGACTCAATATCTTCCTTTATTATGTTCCAGTAGGAGGCTATATCTCTCTGGTTTTCTTTGCTGAGACTTTGCATCATTAACCTATTGGTAATATTTTCGCAGTACTGTTTTGCAACAGTTGCATCTTTCAGCTTCTGTACATTCCATTTATTTCTATCTACTTTTTTTTTTGTTAGAATTTGAATCACTAAACAATGGACTGAGTCTATGTTTGCGCCTTTACAACTTCTGCAGTTCGTTATGTTTGTTCCGTGTCTTAGATGTAATCAATCTGACTACTTGTTCCTTCATCAGGGTAGGTCCAAGTTGTCTTGTGTTCAAAATAAGTGCTAGTGACGGTCATGTTCAGTGCTGGTGGTAAGTTTATCAGTCGTAGTTCATTATCGCTACTGATGTTGTGTGGGCTATGCCTTTTTATAGTCGGCATAATAGCTCTCGTCCTATTGGATCCCTTTTTGGAGTATTTTCTGTAGGCTTGTTCCAGGTCTTCGAAAAACTATTCTTGTCGTCGGTCGGGGCATGTGCTCTAATTAAACTATAATTAAAGAATTTATCTTTTAAGCGTAAATAGAATATTCTTTGACTGTAGGCTTTAAAATCAATAAATAGGCCTTTTGTTCTTTGGTTTACTATAAATCCCACTCCATCTATGTGTTGGTTTTCATTGCAGCTGTAATACATGGAGTGGGTTCTCTTGTCAAGAATGCCTGTTCCCGTCCATCGCATTTCCTGCAGTGCCAAAACATCTACTCTGTACATGTTCACTATGTCTAGTAGAGATACGAGTGCTCCAGCTCGGTACAGGGTTCGGGTGTTCCATATTCCTAATCTTAATTCCATTTTTCGTTTGCAGAGTCGTCGTCATAAGTTGCGTCCGAGTAATAGTTCTTGAGGTTCTGTAATGTAATATTTTTACAGGAAGAGATTGTTATCCTCTAGCCTAAGCCTCAACCAGGAGGACCAGGGACTCTGTTGGGTTGCCATACCAGTCTGTTTTGGTTCACGGGTGGTATTTTATTTCCCACCTACCTGCCAGTCCTAAGACTGGTCAGGGCGTATCGCTATTCACCACCTAGGGACTCGTCCGATTGGCGACAGACAACATCCAAAGTAACTTTATTGACGTTGCAATTTCCACTTCGGAAATTGACTTGACTTCTACCACTTCTGGTACGATCCCTGACGTCATTTGTATCTTCGATTTTTTTTTAATTTTCTATGCAGCATTCTGAGTAACATCAACAATATTCACGATATAACATTGACTTAGGCCTTATTGTAACAAAGCATTTACTTTAGATCTGTAAAAATGAAATATCACGTTTCTAGACATTTTTAAACAGCTCAATTCAAATTTAAACAAAGACTGAAATAATGTGTAAATACGCTAATCAGTTGAATGTGACCAAAATCATTAAGAAACGATTTAACGATCAAATTTTTTATCATTTTCATTTAAAAACGCTCTAGAATGAATATCAACAACAGTTTTAAAACCACCATAGGCGTAGATATATTATTTGTACGTATTCCAAACTTTTGGACATGTACTTACAGATTATTTATTATTATTAATTATTATTATTATTAATTTATCTGTAAGTACATATTTATGTAACTTTATCGTAATGTTGCTTATCTATTTGTTTTAATAAATTTGTAGAACACTTCTGATGAAGCCAATAACCAATTGGCGAAATATTAAGTGACTAAAAAACAGAATTGTTTTGATTCCAGACTGATAGAACCTGATATATACCCAACAAAATATTTTAAATAATATACGGTCGATACTAACAAAAAATTATATATAATATATATATATATATATATATATATATATATATATATATATATATATATATATATATATCTGTTTAATAACCATTAAGTGGACGCGACTTTATTTATAAATAAAAATAATCATAAATTAGCCATTGGGTTAATGTTCAACAACCTTTTGTTTATAAAGATGCTTTTATTAACCTTGAATTTTTAAAAATGCAGAAGTTTGACATACTATTAGTTGAAGATTTTTGAAGAAGAAAAATAATAAACAGACAACTAGCAAATATTATTGTTATTTATTTAACGTACATAGATAAACATATTTTATAACAATTATTCTTTAAATATTTACAAAAATTAAGATTGAACAATTATTATTAATTACTACATAGGCAGAACAAAATGCTTGTCTTTGGAATGTAATTTATTGCAGCTAATTCTTATTCTCTTTATTAATGTTCATTTGATTCCTTTAAATCATCGTTTCGATTGCAAATGAATAAAGCCATAATTAGGGTGATTAAAGACACTAAACACTCATTGCGATAAAAGTTTGAAAATATATTAAAAAAAAAATTATTAAAAAAGCTTTCTAAAAGGTATATATTTAAAAACCCTAACGGGCTAATTAAACAAAATGTTTTCGGAATCCATATTCCATCATCAGTGTCTAGGAGTACATGAATGTAGCCACCAAATATATGGGTAAAAACCCGTTAACAAATATTTAATTACATTTGGTATACGATACTTCTTATGATATGTTATTATGTTGAAATTACCGTTGGATAAGGTAACATGACGACATATGACTCCACGTTGAAATTGCTAGTCCTGAGACGGTGTGTCTACAAGGACTGTATGTCAGTTGCTTCCATACGGTCCTTGTAGACAGGGAATTTGCTTCTTTAGCAAATTCCCTGTCTGCACTTAGTAAAGAAAAATTGAATGCCGGAATATTTATTGGGCCTCAGATACGATAACTTATAAAAGATTCGCATTTTACAGAATCGCTGACTGAAACTGAATGTAATGCATGGTGTTCTTTTGTGAAAGTTGTGTAAAATTTTCTTGGAAACAATAAATCGGAAAATTACCGGGATATAGTGGAAGAAATGCTCAACAATTTTAACAAACACGGTTGTCAGATGAGTATTAAAATTCATTACCTCAACAGCCACTTTGACCGTTTCCCAGAAAATCTTGGTCACCTTAGTGAGGAATAAGGGGAACGCTTCCACCAAGATATCAAAACGATAAAATAAAGGTATCAGGGGAGATGGGACACTCACATGATGGTGGATTACTGCTGGAGTCTTCAAAGGGACCGACCTCTTAAAGCATTTGCAAGAAAATCATATAAAAGGAAGTTTTTAGGTGACGCTGAATACCAGATTTGTTCCGCGATGCTGGTTAGGTTAGATGAAAACTTAAGTTTTGTTGGCAGATATGTATGATAATTTTTGTAAGTACATTATTGTACAATAAATATCTTACTTTTTATTTTGTTTGTGTTTTGTTTATTTAATTGGTAGCAGCATTACATAAATGTAGCTAGTGCTGCATTAAAAATTACCCTGTATGTTAGAAATGTGATCTGTTGTATTTCCTGAAAACGATCTAATAAAGCAAATCTGGTGGCATTTTTGGATTCAGCAGACCCAAATTACCTAGAAACAGTACAAAAAATTTCGGCAGCAAACTGTGTTTTTACCAGTGTTATAATTAAAAACATACCACGTTATTTGTAAATAAAATGTGTTTTTTTTTAATTATGTACCTATTTAACTAAAATTTGATATAAAAATCAATGCTGTATAATTATTAATTTATAAATTTTCCACTCCTCGTGGACTGTCAAAGTTGAATTTTGTAAATGAAAACAAAATTATCTACAAATTAAAGCTTTTATTAGCCGACGGAGATTAATTAAATGAGTAATAATGAGAAACGCGTTTCATATAATTGCCGGACGTCACTGGTATATATTCCGGCAAATTTTCTAATACTTTATAAATTCAAGTTCATGAACGTAATTACAACAGATGCATTTTTTCTCTCATAAGAATAAAGTATTAGAAACAAAAACAAACATGCACTTTTCTATTTTCATGGTTGTTCTGAGCTTTTGTCCAACGGGGGTGTTTTTGGAAAAACTCGACCGAGCTGAGGAACTGGTATGTAAAACAATGATTATCTTTTAAATTGTACTAAAACTTTATACTTTATATAATTTAAACATTTTTGATTATTTGCAATATTATTCCAATAGTTTTTGCTACTAGTACAGTCATTCAAGGTTTTCGCTCCGATTTCGTTGAACCTCCATCAATTTTCATAAAAATTGGTGAGTAGTTAGAGGATACCTTAAGAAACAAAAGTGACATGGTGTCAACTTGCGCTTTTACGTTCTCGGGGGTGAAAATTATTTTAATAAAAATAACCTCAGGAATCGATAGAGGGACTAAATCTAAACAAAATTTATCTGATAAAGTTATTAAAATAAATCAATACTATTTGAATTATTGAAGATCAAATATTTTGATTTTTCGTGAAAAAAATGCATGTTTTAAAGCGATTTTTCATAAGTAACTCAAAAGCTATATGATTTAATAAGAAAGTTGTGGTTACCAAAATTGAAGCTAATAAAAAATTATTAATTTAAATTGAGTTATCGATAATTAAATGTATTTTTTTTTTGGGCGAGTACTCAAATCTGAATATTCAAGCTTAAATAATAGAAAAATAACGCATTTTATAAAATACACTTATTAAACAATTTTTAAAGTACTCAGAAATACCTATAAAATGAGCTTTAGTAAAAGCTGATAGCATCAAAATTAAGCAAGTTATGATGAAAATAAGAGGATCATTTCGAATTTTTTGTCAAAAATTTGACAAAAATTAAAATTTATAGTAATCCCTATAAGAATTTCTTTATTTTAGCATAAGTAATGATCTAAAAAATTTTGACCGGTTTGAAATGAAATGAAATTTTCATAAATTTCATTTTCTTTTGAGAATAACTACATATATACTCAATATACCTCAAAAATGATAAAGAACCAAATTTGAGGTTTTTTTTTAAACATTTTCTATTTTTGCAGGCTAAAAAATAACTGAGATAAAAACATTTAAAACCTAAATTTTAAAAAACTCATCTTTTAAAAAATAAGGAATTTAAAAGAATAATCATGAATGTGTTGCTTGTGTGAGTCCATTTCAAATAGGTAAAGAAATAATAAATAAGACTTACTCACAATCAATTTAATTTAACTATCAGACGACCGGTTTCGCTTTCTACAATATGCAAAGCATCCTCAGGTCTCGATACAAAGTTAAACAAATGCTGAAATGATCAAAAACCCATATTAGGGTGTTGTCTAATAACGATAAACACAGTAGATATAAATTACAATAATTATGCCAATATTACATGTCTGTGGTTTTATTTAAAAGACTAAGTTGAATAAAAAGTATAAAAGTTTTAAAAGTTTAAACAGACAAGGTAAGGCCCACAAATTGTTATAAAATAGTCTATTAGATTGTAATAAATTAATAAATGAGCAAATAAATAAAATAAACATTACTTACATGCCGGTACTCTATTAATTGATGGATGGCAGAACATGGTTGAAACTACTATGTATTGTTGAATGGAGAACTCAATTCTGTTATTGCAGTTGTTTGACAGTAAACGGGAAGTTCTTGAGGAGATAGATTTGATCCAATGAAGAAGAGATATGTGTGTGATTGTTTGTTAAATGAAAGTGATGTAATATACCATTGTATTATTAAAAGCTATTTATACTTATTCGAGAGATATATTTATAAAATGTGTGTTATTTATTGAGTGATTGTTTTATGAAGGTGACAGTTTTATGACAATGGATAAGTTTAGATGTAAAAATTGTGTGGGTGTGCAATTATTTTCCACTTGTAGTTATCAAATTACTTTGATAAATTTCTATTGGCAATTAGTAAATTATTGAAAAGTCAAGTAATTAAAATATTAGAATAAAAACAATTAAGGACAATTTAAACACACTAAAACAGAAAACACTCTGAAGGGACGAAACAAACATTAAATTTAAAAGGGAGAAGGACTTTAATGCACTACATCTCTGTCTTGGGCACAATGAGTTTTTTTATGTTTTATCTATTAGATTTTAGTGGTAATCTATCAAATTTTAATTAGGGTTTTATAAACATGGATTAAGCAGTTTCAGTCAGCTCCATAGTTTTTATTAGATAGAGTTTTCATGAGATTAATTCCATTTTGACATGTTTTTTATTTGTAGAATGTGTTTTTTCCATGTGAGTTTCGTATCAAAAATCATCCCTAAGAACCTAATGTCATCGGCATAATTCAGGATTTGGTTACATAATTTTGGTTGCGGTTTAATCGGATCACGTTTCTTTGAAAATAACAAACACTTTGATTTGCTGAGTGAAAACTGCAATCCTGTTTTCTTTGACCAGTTTTCGAGTTCATGAAGTAAGGTTTGTAAGTGACGCTGTACTGATGAGATGTTTTTTCCTGAAGATACTAATACCAAATCATCCGCATATAATCTGCCACGAACTAAGTTGGAGTTTGATGCTACAATATTATTCATCGCAATTAAAAATAACGTTGCGCTTATTACAGACCCCTAAGGGGTGCCATTAGCTTGACGTCTTGTTGAAAATTGACTCTTACTTGAAAATTGCGTTGTTTAAGGAAATTTGAAATGAAATTATTGATATTACCTCTAATGTTCCAAGTGTGTTATGATCTGATAATATCGTAACGCCATGCTGTGTCAAATGCTTTTGTAATGTCTATGAATACTGCAATAGTTTCCTGCTTGTTCGCGAAAGATTCAAGAATATCAGATTCTAAATCAATGAGGTTATCAGTAGTAGTTAGGTTTTGTCGAAATCCGCTTTGCTCTTTAACCAGAAGGTGATTTTTTTCTAATATCCATAGCAATCTTTTATTAACTATTTTTTCCATGACTTTGCACATTACATTGGTGAGCGAGATGGGTCTATATGAAGAAATTTTAGTTCGTGCATTGTTAGGTTTGAGAATAGGTATGAATATTAAATCACTCCAGGAAGTTGGAAAGACATTATTTAATCATATTCGATTGAAAATTTTTAAAAGAGTATACTTAGCATTGTCTGGCAGTTTTTCCAAGAATACTAAAGGTATATTATCGGATCCAGAAGCAGAGTTTTTTGTAGTATTAAGGGCAAAGTTAAGTTCATCTAAGGTTAAAGGAATGTTGAAGTAACTATTATCTCTATCTTCACAATCGAACTGTTGTTTTTCTGTGTTGATTTTGTGTTGTATAAACTCAACGGAATAGTTGCTACTGCTGGAGTTTTCTTCGAAGTATGTAGCAAAAGCATCAGCTATTTCGTTAGGTTTTGTTATTACATTAGTATTATGAGTAATAAAAGGCACTTGGTAAAATTTGTTTTTTTCTGATATTTTTCGAATATTGGACCACACTGTAGATAAAGGTGTTGTACTGTTTATATTTGAGACAAATTTTCTCCAGTTGGTTTTGGAACTGATTGTTCTTACTATTGTTTGAATGGTTCTCGTAATTATATTGTTTAAATTTTTTTTTTTTTTGTATAATATGCATATCTATTTTTTAAATTTTTAACCTATAAAAATAGTTATTATCACTTTCAAAATTACTAACTAGAATAAAAGTATCATGTCACATACATCTATCAATATTTTGATAAGTGTAGTATACTAAGTCACTTAAACTATTTCATTTGTCAACTTTTAAGTGCTTTAAATATATACATTAAAGTAATTTGACTTGTGCACTTTAATACGATGACAACAACTAGCTAAATATTAACCAAAAACGAAATACAAAATAATTACCTGATATATTATTTCCAAGTGAGGTTATGTGGTCACGTTCTTATTTTGTAATCATTTCAATATCATTTATTTTCTATATTAAAGCACACAAATGTTGTATACAGCTCATTTTGTCAATATTTGCTTTAAATATAGTATCACAAACACAATCACTAAGTTCAAACTTATCTTCAGAATTTTTTTTTTAATCACTTAGTACTCATAAACGCGGCAAACGCCATCATCATCATCATCATCAGTAGCTCGACAACCCCTTCTGAGTCCTGACATGTTCTAAGATTTTCCGCCATTCTGTTCTGTTCCTTGTTTTGTTTTTCCAGTTGGTAATCTTAAGTGTTTTCACGTGCTACTTAAATGTCCCACTTGTTTCATGTATCTAAGTTCGGATCTTTCCTTTGATCTTCTTCCTACTGGTGTTTGCCTCATTATATGTTTTGGTATTTCAGTCTCCAACATCCGTTCAACATGACCCATCCAGCGCAGACGTCCGACCTTTAACGATGTTATGACCTCGGATTCATTGTATGCTGTGTATAGTTCAAAGTTATCTCTTCTGCGCCATATGTCATTTGTCATTTTCCTTCACTCACTTATATATGTAACAATAAAACACTAAAAACTTTATTTTCAAACTTCCACAAAGTTTATTTTAACTTATCATTACAGCTGTTTCGGCTGATTGCCTTTCTGAGGCAGTCAGCGGAAGTTAGTTAGTTTAGTTTTTCTATCTCTTGGAGTACTTTTCCTATGTATTCTCTTTTCTTTCTGCGATGTATTTTTTCCTCTTTCCTCTTTATTATTCTTTATTCCTCCTCTGCCTTTCGTATACTATGTCGTTGTTGTAGTCGTTGATATACATTATTTTTCCTCTCTGTTATGTTACGACACTCTTGATCGAACCAGTGTCCTTCAGGTAATTTGAGCTTTTTTTATAGACCAAGGGTCTCATTGCGGTAAACGCAATGACAATTTAAAACCAAGTCAGACACGTGACTACAGGCATTCAAGGTCAACAGAATTAACTGATATAATACAGTTTACTTCTAATACAGTCTGTGGGTTGATACTGTTTAACATCATCTATCTTTGTAATCGAATGTTAATAAACGTAGATCTGTTTACCACAGCAAATAGCGTGAATATCAAGTCATCTGGTACTGAAATCTCATTTTTGATAAAATGGTGAATTGGTACAGTTTACCTCTCAGGTAGCGGGTAGACACTCTTTACGATCCCGGTAAAGACAGGTCTGCTTCAGGGATGCGCCCCTGCCCACGCGAGCTCGGCTTTTTCTCCCAATGCTCTTCCGGGAGAGAAGCGGATCCTAATACCTAAATCCTACCCACCAACCCAGACCTACCCAAATCCTTCCCTTCCCTCCTCAACCCGCACTGGACCAGCGTCAGGAGATAACGGTCCAAACCTTCAAGTCAATGTACAGGATAAAAAAGAAAAAGCCCCCAGTGCCCAGCACTTTCCAGAGTCTTGATCACGGCAGCGTTCAAACAACTAACGGAAGGGGGGGTGCTAAGAATCCCTGGGTAAGACCCGGCTGCCACAAGATGATAATTTGGCTATGCTCCTACAATATTCGAACACTGACGGACGACAATAGATTCCCAGAAATAGAAAGTGAACTAAAGGATATAAAATGGGATATCCTTCCTAAAATGGGATATTATGGATATCCATATCAGACAGAGTGGCATATCTCATCATCAGGATTAATAAAAGAACCACTCTGAAGGTAATCCAAGTGTACGCTCCGACCAAAAGTCACGACGATGAAGAAGTAGAAATATTTTATGATGAAATAAGAACAGCTATAGAAACAAATAAAGCAAATTACGAAATACTATTAGGAGATTTTAATGCTAAATTGCTAAGCTATATTGCTATGGGAAAAAAAAACGATAGAGGAGAAATGCTTTTCAATTTCATGAATGAACATAACATGTACTCAATGAACTCCTTTTTCAATAAAAAACCAAGCAGAAAATGGACATGGATGAGCCCCAATAAAAAGACAAAAAATGAAATATATTATATCTTAACGAAGAATAGAAACCTAGTAGAAGACGTATCAGTATTAAATCAGTTTGACCTAGGAAGCGATCATAGACTAATAAGAACATAACTAATAATTAACAAAAAACTAGAAAGAAAAAGAATACATGAAAAAAGATACAAATGGACATCTGAAGAAATTTAAAATAGTGAATTTAATAAAAAGATAGTGCATGAATTAAATCAAGTTAGCATGCAGCAGATAAACTCCAATGATATTGATGATTTGAATAACCTTATTACCGTGAATAAAAGCATTCTGCAACTGAAAAAACCAAAAACAACATACAATAAATTAGACAAAGAAATATTACAACAAATAGAAAGAAGAAAGATCTTAAATAAATCTAACAAAAGGGGAACCGACGAATATAGAGAACTTAATAAGCAGATTAGAAAAGGAATCAGACAACAAAAAAGAAAAGAAAACAAAAAATTAATGACAACAACTACTGAAACAAATAAGAGTATGAAATGCCTCAGACCGACACTAGGACGACGTCAGATGATATCATTAATGGGAAAAGACGAAAATGAAATCACTACTAGAGAAAACATACTGACACGAATAGAAGAATTTTGCACAGAACTTTACAGAACACATCAACAAGATGATGAGATGAGACCAGCACGGAAATTAATAAAAAATGTTGGATGAGAAATAATGACAAAAGTAACAATTTCAGAGGTAACTACAGCATTGGAAAACATGAAGAGAAATAAAGCTGCAGGAGAAGATAGTATTACCACAGATATGATATTAGAAGGAGGTAAGGAACTAATTGCAATTATAACTAAGCTTGTGGACAGTTGTTTACATCAGGGCAAAGTCCCTAAGAGCTGGAACAACTCTAAAGTAATCTTATTACACAAGAAAAGTGATAGTCGAAAATTGGAAAACTACAGACCCATCAGCCTACTGTCACACCTGTTTAAAATACTCACCAAAGTCATAACTACTCTGACTAACAAGGAAATTAGACGAATACCAACCATATGAATAGGCAGGTTTTAGAAAAGGCTATTTAACTTCCGATGACCTGTTAACCACAAAAATATTAATAGAAAAATGTAACGAATACAAGTTTCCAGTTTTCCTAGCATTTGTAGACTACGAAAAAGCTTTCGATACCATAGAACACACGGCCGTAATAAACGCAATGCAAAATTGTAGATTAGACAGCAGATATATTAACTTAATAAAAGAAACTATGAACCAAGCTACAGCTACATACTACCTATATGAAAATGAACACACGAATCCTGTACCACTAAACAGGGGAGTCAAACAGGGAGATACTTTATCACCCAAACTGTTCACCTTAGTTTTGGAGGACGTTTTTAAAATCCTAAATTGGAAATATAAGGGAATAAACATCAATAGCCGCTACCTCAGTAATCTACGATTTGCAGATGACATAATCCTGATAGCTACTGACCTACAAGAAATGCAAACTATGCTTTTAGAACTACATACGGAATCTTCTAAAATAGGACTGAAAATGAATTTAAACAAAACAAAAGTCATGCACTTCGAAGACACCGTGACAATAATAAACGATAAAGTTATAAAAAAAGTTGAAGAATATATATACTTAGGACAAAAAATAATACTAAATATAAAATTCAAACTTAAGAAATAAAAAGAAGAAGAAAGTTAGCTTGGGCAGCATTCGGTAAACTGAACTATATACTCAGAAATCAACAAATTCAATTACATCTTAGATCTAAAGTTTTTGATACATGCATTATTCCGATATTAACTTATGCGGCACGAACATGGACAATCACAAAAAATTGGAATATGAATATACTTAGAGTTACTCAACACGCGATGGAAACAGCAATGCTAGGTATATCACTTAAGGACAAGAAAACAAACACATGGATAAGACAGAAAACCAAAGTCACCGATGTGGTGCAAAAATCATTAAAGTTGAAATGGGAATACGCTTGACATGTAGCTAGGAGCGATCTAAACAAATGGCACAGATCAATTTTAACCTGGAGACCATTCCAACACAAAAGACCCAGAGGCAGACCTCCTATGAGATGGACAGATGATCTGAAATGGACTGCGGGGAAAAATTGGCTACAAGTAGCGTACAATAAAAAACAATGGAAAGGAAGACTTGAAGAGGCTTATGTTCAGATGTGGACGTGAATGGCTAGACGAAGAAGAAGAAGAAGACCTCAGAGGTGCTGGAATTAAATATTACAAACGATTTCGTAGCACGTTATAAAAACCTAAATAATGTACTTTTTTCTTTTTCTCATACACTCATTATATTTCGCAATAATATTATACATATATTGTTTAATCTAACACTAGATTCTCTCTTTGCAGATCAGCTCAGTTACCTCATTTGGTTATCCAATTGAGTCACACCAAATAGAAACCGAGGACAACTATATTTTGACAGCGTTCAGAATACCACATGGCCGAAATACCACAAGTTCCAACAATCTTCCGATTCTACTCAATCATGGAATGTTGGGTTCAGCAGATAACTACATTTGGCTAGGACCTCAGCGATCCTTAGCGTATATTTTAGCCGACAAGGGATATGATGTATGGTTAATGAATTGTAGAGGAACAGCTTATAGTAGAAAACATAAAATTTTTAATTCAAGCCAAAAACAATTTTGGGATTTTTCGTAAGTTTCAATAGTCTTATGTACAATGTAAGTCACCTTTATTTCGATGTCAATTCGCTTATTTTAAAGATATCTGCAAGTAAAAATGTTATTTATTATCAAAATTATGAACAAAATAATATGAATTTAATTTAAATGTATTGTTTTAAATATACAGCTTATTTCCTTTACTAGCAACAATAAAAAAGTAGTCTTTAGTAAACTTTGTATACTATTTTAAACTAAAATTTAAAATTTTCTTATTTCTGACAGTTTTACCTAAAAATCTTTACTTAAAACATTTGCTATTTCAAAATATATCATTTAAAAGGAGTTTTCAAAATCGTTCGATGAACCATCCTATCGCTTACATTTGCTTTACAGGAGTACATCAATATACCTCCAATTTATCAAATACTTCGCTAATCATCTCCTGGTTGAAATTAATTTAAAAATAAGTTATTTGTTTTAATTTACCAATTTTATCAGAGTACCATATTCTATAGATTATGGTCATTTGACATGTATTTTTCAGTGAAACTGCGATACCTAATTACGAGTATACATGAATAACAAATTAATTATGGTATAAAAAAAATACCTTTTACTGACCAATTAATGAAAAATCTTAGATACTTTAATTATTGTTTTATTTAAATGCGTCACATGTAATGCTAAAGTATTTTCCACCTAAGAAGACCGGTTTGCAATTAAATGATGTTAAATTTATTACTAATGGACCAGATAAGCGCAAAATATTTTACACTACCTTTATAAATAACATTTTACTGCTCTGCTGTTTCAATCAGCACTGCTCAATAGGTTATTGTTTATTGGTTTTAATACTTTATTGCAATAATACGAGTACGGAATGTTTATTTAAACAGTGATTTTATTACATGTAAATCTTTTTTAATTTCTTGTGACGTATCGTATAATGTAGATTTACCCAATAATCAAAGTTATGACTTTACCAGAACATACTATTTAAAAAATAAGGAGTACCATGTGTCGGAATAATGGTAATCTCCTTTATACACACTTTAAAAATTTGTTTAGTGATGTATTTCTTAAATCAACACAAGCATTAACAAATGATTCATGCTATTTAAAAATATATTTCGATAATGATACTGTTATCGACAAACTAGATCAAATTCAAACTTGTCATCATATTACACTTCTGTTTATCGTTAAAAATGAATTGATGGTCGTGGGTTGTATTGGTGTTATTTAATAATTTAGCAAAATAGATATTCAGCAAAAATCTTATTTAAAACATGCAAACGGTTTTTGCAATCACAATCAATGCAGTGTTTATGCTTGTTTAGCATTGATTGTTAAATAATGTGTGTTCGATTGTTTCGTCTGTTGTACAACCCTCAAGTTTTTAGGGTGTAGTAGTTGTAAATAAGTACCTATTTTTTATATTAGTGTAGTAAAGCAGTACTTTAAAGTAAATTTAGTAATTTGGAAGAAAATAAAATACAGTCGAAACGTAGAGTGTTATCTCTAGAAGAACGGTGCGGCGTTTAGTTCTGAAAGTCGAAAGTTATCTTAATTGTATAGTATATTATGGTAGTTTAAAAACGCACATGCATTGTTTGCGGTATCTTAGAGAAGATATTTCAAATAATTATTAACATGAGTGGAGATGAAATAACTAAAGTAACCAAGAGAAATCGTCAACATTCAAACACTTTAGATTTGTACCACTCAATCAAACTTGCAATTAAAAATATTATATATAATTATGTATAAAGCCAAAGAATATGTAACAGATAATAGTATGTAACAAAAAAGACAAATAATAGACAAGTATTGTCTGAACTCTCTGATGTTGTTTCAAGACGATGGCATTTTTTACGAAAATAAATTAATAATAAAACAATCGTAAAATAGTTTCGAAACACAATTCAGTTTTCTGCTTTTATCTGTGCTTTCTAAAAATTGCAAAGCAAAACAGACGTTGATAAAGGTGTTAAAAGAGACGTGGGGAATCTAAAATTTGCATTCCACGACACATCTTTTCAACTAAGCAGAAATCCTTAGCGAATTGGTTTCTAGTACTCGTACAGAGTAAATCCGAAAAAAGTGAAAAAGACAGCAAATATTTGATTTCACGCAAACAGCGCCTTTGTATCTGTTGATACGTATTTCGACCTAATAGGTCTCATCAGAACAGTTATTCAAAGGTGTTCTCAACGTGAGAGATCAATATTTTCTGTCTTTTAAGAAGCAACAATAACATGGCTTCGATACGGACGCACTAGCGACATCTAATTTAACAATCGTAAAATAGTTTCGAAACACAATTCAGATTTTTGCTTTTATCTGTGCTTTCTAAAAATTGCAAAGCAAAACAGACGTTGATAAAGGTGTTAAAAGAGACGTGGGGAATCTAAAATTTGCATTCCACGACACATCTTTTCAACTAAGCAGAAATCCTTAGCGAATTGGTTTCTAGTACTCGTACAGAGTAAATCCGAAAAAAGTGAAAAAGACAGCAAATATTTGATTTCACGCAAACAGCGCCTTTGTATCTGTTGATACGTATTTCGACCTAATAGGTCTCATCAGAACAGTTATTCAAAGGTGTTCTCAACGTGAAAGATCAATATTTTCTGTCTTTTAAGAAGCAACAATAACATGGCTTCGATACGGACGCACTAGCGACATCTAATTTAACAATCGTAAAATAGTTTCGAAACACAATTCAGATTTCTGCTTTTATCTGTGCTTTCTAAAAATTGCAAAGCAAAACAGACGTTGATAAAGGTGTTAAAAGAGACGTGGGGAATCTAAAATTTGCATTCCACGACACATCTTTTCAACTAAGCAGAAATCCTTAGCGAATTGGTTTCTAGTACTCGTACAGAGTAAATCCGAAAAAAGTGAAAAAGACAGCAAATATTTGATTTCACGCAAACAGCGCCTTTGTATCTGTTGATACGTATTTCGACCTAATAGGTCTCATCAGAACAGTTATTCAAAGGTGTTCTCAACGTGAAAGATCAATATTTTCTGTCTTTTAAGAAGCAACAATAACATGGCTTCGATACGGACGCACTAGCGACATCTAATCTAGATCAGCTTCTTAAAAGACATTATCATATGAGACCTATTAGGTCGAAATACGTATCAACAGATACAAAGGCGCTGTTTGCGTGAAATCAAATATTTGCTGTCTTTTTCACTTTTTTCGGATTTACTCTGTACGAGTACTAGAAACCAATTCGCTAAGGATTTCTGCTTAGTTGAAAAGATGTGTCTTGGAATGCAAATTTTAGATTCCCCACGCCTCTTTTAACACCTTTATCAACGTCTGTTTTGCTTTGCAATTTTTAGAAAGCACAGATAAAAGCAGAAATCTGAATTGTGTTTCGAAACTATTTTACGATTGTTAAATTAGATGTCGCTAGTGCGTCCGTATCGAAGCCATGTTATTGTTGCTTCTTAAAAGACAGAAAATATTGATCTTTCACGTTGAGAACACCTTTGAATAACTGTTCTGATGAGACCTATTAGGTCGAAATACGTATTAACAGATACAAAGGCGCTGTTTGCGTAAAATCAAATATTTGCTGTCTTTTTCACTTTTTTCGGATTTACTCTGTACGAGTACTAGAAACCAATTCGCTAAGGATTTCTGCTTAGTTGAAAAGATGTGTCGTGGAATGCAAATTTTAGATTCCCCACGTCTCTTTTAACACCTTTATCAACGTCTGTTTTGCTTTGCAATTTTTAGAAAGCACAGATAAAAGCAGAAATCTGAATTGTGTTTCGAAACTATTTTACGATTGTTAAATTAGATGTCGCTAGTGCGTCCGTATCGAAGCCATGTTATTGTTGCTTCTTAAAAGACAGAAAATATTGATCTTTCACGTTGAGAACACCTTTTGAATAACTGTTCTGATGAGACCTATTAGGTCGAAATACGTATCAACAGATACAAAGGCGCTGTTTGCGTGAAATCAAATATTTGCTGTCTTTTTCACTTTTTTCGGATTTACTCTGTACGAGTACTAGAAACCAATTCGCTAAGGATTTCTGCTTAGTTGAAAAGATGTGTCGTGGAATGCAAATTTTAGATTCCCCACGTCTCTTTTAACACCTTTATCAACGTCTGTTTTGCTTTGCAATTTTTAGAAAGCACAGATAAAAGCAGAAATCTGAATTGTGTTTCGAAACTATTTTACGATTGTTAAATTAGATGTCGCTAGTGCGTCCGTATCGAAGCCATGTTATTGTTGCTTCTTAAAAGACAGAAAATATTGATCTGTCACGTTGAGAACACCTTTGAATAACTGTTCTGATGAGTCCTATTAGGTCGAAATACGTATCAACAGATACAAAGGCGCTGTTTGCGTGAAATCAAATATTTGCTGTCTTTTTCACTTTTTTCGGATTTACTCTGTACGAGTACTAGAAACCAATTCGCTAAGGATTTCTGCTTAGTTGAAAAGATGTGTCGTGGAATGCAAATTTTAGATTCCCCACGTCTCTTTTAACACCTTTATCAACGTCTGTTTTGCTTTGCAATTTTTAGAAAGCACAGATAAAAGCAAAAATCTGAATTGTGTTTCGAAACTATTTTACGATTGTTAAATTAGATGTCGCTAGTGCGTCCGTATCGAAGCCATGTTATTGTTGCTTCTTAAAAGACAGAAAATATTGATCTTTCACGTTGAGAACACCTTTGAATAACTGTTCTGATGAGACCTATTAGGTCGAAATACGTATCAACAGATACAAAGGCGCTGTTTGCGTGAAATCAAATATTTGCTGTCTTTTTCACTTTTTTCGGATTTACTCTGTACGAGTACTAGACACCAATTCGCTAAGGATTTCTGCTTAGTTGAAAAGATGTGTCTTGGAATGCAAATTTTAGATTCCCCACGTCTCTTTTAACACCTTTATCAACGTCTGTTTTGCTTTGCAATTTTTAGAAAGCACAGATAAAAGCAGAAATCTGAATTGTGTTTCGAAACTATTTTACGATTGTTAAATTAGATGTCGCT